CAACTCGATGATTATGAAACACATTTTACTGTTATGAATTATCGAGCTGTTTCATTGAAAATGGTTTATTGGCAATACGAAGCCAAAAAATTTTATGAACATATAATTTTAATGGTCGAATACTACGTAAAAGTAATATATAGCGAACATCAAATTTTACCTCACCACCTTCAATATCAGGTATTTTAAGTAAAACTGGTGTTGATACATATTTACAAGCAATTTTCGAGCCAGATTCTGGTAAACGAATAACCGTATCAATTAAATTCGTTACTGATACATCAATTGAACGTGTTAAATTGATTGGTTTAACTATCCAAGTATTATCTATTTTCTGATCTTCACGATACTATGAAATTCGAATAAAAAAACAGTGAATTTCTAATAAATGAATAAATATTTACTTGAAAATAAACAGCAAATTGTGGCAATTCATATGTTAGAACAAATGTCGTTGGTAACCATGGTGGACTTTCATGTGAATCAATATATGGATCATTTTCAACTGCTGATGAACTAGAAGAATTTAGATTTTATTTAGAGAAAAAAACAAAGACATTTTAAAAAATAACAACTGTTAGTATTAGTATAGATATATCTAAAGAAGTATATCTTCAAACTATTACTTCACCTCATATTTCATATTGTTTCAAAACTCATATATAATTTCCTAAATGATTCAATCATATTTGATTAATATTATTTAAAACGAACATGTCAAGTAATCCGGAAAAGAAATAAATCAGGGTGTGGGTGTAGATGCCGAGTATTCTATACCTATACATCCGCACCCACTCTCAATTAAAAATTTTCCGAATTACTTGATATCACCTTTAAAACATACCTGTATAACGATTTCCATCTTCTTGAAACTAATGCTAATAATTCTTTATTTGTTATGATATTTTCAAATGGAAATTGATTAATTAACGTATTATGTAATGTTTCAAAACGAAAATCTTGAATTTGTTTTTTAAGAAATATAATATCAGCTTGACCATAATTATCTATTAATTGATAATGTTGATCAGTTAAATATTGTTTAATCAGATCTTGATCAGTGTAAACTTTTAAAATATGATCTTTATCAAATTTTGTTGGTTCAATTAGAATTGTCGATCTATCATAAAGATCATTTTTATGACATTCTTCAAATATTTCTGTATTATTTTGAAGTTTTTTTGTAAATATTTCTGGACAATGTTCGATTGTTAAACTACGAAGAACTTTTTTACGATAATTAACACGTTGCCATGGCAATAATTTAATATTTCGATCCAATGTACTACTATTATCATAGACAAAATTTCGAAAGATTTCACTGTAAGGTTGTTCAATACGAACAATTGGATAAAGTAATGTAAACATTGTTTGAGTTGGTTCGAAAAAAAATGATGTACAATAAACATTAGCATTCGTATCTGAATGACGTATTGATGAACCTAATTCATCCATTATATACCTATCGATATGAACAAAGAATTAATATCAAATAATAAAACTCATTACTATCAATTCAACGAATGTTTTAATTCTTGATTTCATTAAAACCTTGACAGATCTATTTTTTCCTCTACAATAAGTTATAATATCTTATGATAATTGAAAGAAAATGGAGTATGTCATTAATGATATATACTCTTCTGTCACTCAGGAATATACGACATTTGAAGAAGAGTGTTGCTAAAAATAATTATGTTATGTTCTCGATGAGTGTACCACTAGAGACTAGTGCTTTACTATCATTTTATCATGTCTTATTACTTCAATTAAATTCTTTCGAAGGTCTTTATAATATCCTCAGTTTATATATTAAAAATTGCAAATATTTAAGTTAAAATTCTAGTATTTTATAGTCGAGTATATCTCACCCTTGATTTGATAAATTCTTTTTTAAACCTACCAATAAGGTTCTTGTGCTACTTCTGTATCTAATTGTGGATCAATTTGTGTTGATGTTAATGTATAAGATTGATTAAATTTCCACATACGTTGTAATATAAGTTCAATTCCATCTTCTTTCAAATCAGAATTAATATTCATTAATGATGTCATACGTTCATATAGATTTGAAATCGAATATAAATCATTTCTTGCATCTTTTATTCTATATGTCCAAGCATGATCAATAAGAAATATTGCATTTTCATCTTTTTCTGGATCGAGTACAACATCTCTAAGTGTCGAAACATAATATCGACGTTCAGGATTATATGGTTTTTCTAATTCATCATCATCATCAATTGGACATAATTGAAAATATGATCCACTATCAAATATTTCATTTTTCATTTTCTCATACAAACGTCTATAAAGATGTCTGGGTATATTATTAAAAATAAGTTGTAATTGATGTGTTTGAAGAAATTGATTATATTCATCATCATTATTATTCGCCATAATCTAGAAGAAATTTATTCTCACAAAAGAAAATGTAAAGGCAAGCGACAACAAATTCGTTTTCACATATGGAATAATTTTATAAAATAAAAGAAAAGAAAAAAAAAAGAAGCGGTGTATAGATTAACTGACATTCTGTCTAAATTCAATTAATTGAATATGATTAATTACAATAAAAGAAAAGAATCAAAAAAGTAAATCAGTAGTTGTTGACATTGAACTCCATTGAATATTATTTGGCATATCAAATGGTGTTTTTTGTTGTTTTATTAAGGAATGATTTGTAAAATTATTTGTTGAAGAAAAATAGTTATCATGAGAAAATATATCTGACGAATTGGAATATGATAAAGAATCATGTTGTGCACCTAATTCATATTGAACAAGATGTGTTGGACGAAATGTATGTAACGAACCTAAATAGAAAAAAAATCGATTAACTTACTATCGAATATTCAGTTTTTCTTAGTATTAGAATACACTTGATTGTCTGCCTTCTTTTTTTAGCTCGTTCTTTTCTGTAGTAATTATTCTTGTTTCTCCATCTTTTTTTTTGATAATATCGGATGCTGTGTTTATGAAAAAAGACAGGATTAGCCTTGTCTCAGAATGTCATCGTTCTATATTTATATGAGATGTCAACAAGTTTACAACAGATAATAGAGAAAATTTATAATGAAACGTAGAAGGAAAAAAAACTAATTATATAAATTATTGTAAAACTCATACCTTTTGGTTGTAATGGCTTTTCTGCGAGATCATTCGAATTAAATTTTGCATTTATAAGTGCCAATCGTTCAAGTTCATCATCAATTTGATCATTTGCATTCTCATCAATAACATTTGTTTTTATACTATTATTATCATTATTAGTCGATGAATCATCATCATCATCATCATCGTTTTCATCCTCTGAACCCGTACCATTAAATTCAGCCATTGCTACAGCGAATGATGGATATTCATATGTATCAATGTAATCAATAAATTGTACTCGAGCATCCTAAAATTGTATATATAAATATAGAAAATGAAATTCATTTCGAATATTTTCTAATACCTTTTTTATTCCTGAAAAAATAGATGATTTGTTTAATTTTATATTGCCACCAATGATATCTGGAACAGGGAATAAATCAATTAATGGTAATATCGATGATGGTTCTTCTTTAATGATTGATGGCATTGGTAAAATTGTGGATGCTGGTAGAATTGATTTGATATTTTCATTATGTTTTGCTCCACCACCGCCATTAAATTTTCTAACAAAACCAACAGTTCATCA